AAAATGCAACAACATATTGCAAAATATTGTCCAAGGTATTCTGAGGATACAACCCAGAGGATAGCTGCCCTAAAATGGCTGATATACTCATTAAGCTGTTCGAGAAGCTGTTAAATCCACCTCTGATATCTATGCGATTTACCCATTATGAGCAATTTAAATTTAGCCTTCAGTTTTCAGTCTTCTCTAAATATAATAAACCTGCATGAGGCAAGTGAACAGCTGGTTTATTTTGATTTCTCTGTAAAAGGTTTTCGTATTCTGTACTTATAAACTGGCAATCAAGAATACAGCTATTTAGCACCACTTTTCTTAATTGTGAGCTGGAGACTTCAATGCTGTATATTCTATATAAAATGATTGAGAATCAATGGCTTAAACAATTCACGCAAAAGGAGTCAGAGGTAGAGCTGATATTAGAACACTGGAGTTCCTTTCTCCCAGTTTAAAATAGGGAGAATGCAAGTCCTAGCTCTGTAACTTGCCTTTATTATAAAAAATATTATTTGGAACAGAGATATACATAAAAAGATTATTTTAACTTATGGTGTTTGTATTAAAATATTGGAACAGTATCATGAATTAATTGTTAAGCATCTACAGTTAGCTCATTACATTTGTAACTATGATAATTTAACTATAAAATGCAGAACAGTACTAACAGACTGATAAAGGTTTGGTCTCCAGAGAATTTTGTTCTCTTGTATAATTTAACAGCATGAAATATATAGAGACATCAGAAAAGAAAAATGTTGCAATTCAAGCAATTACAATTGGTCTCTGAGAAATCCAGCCATAAAACTTCCATCAATATTCTCCTCAGCATAATCTCTTTTTGCTTATTAGGCGTTTGTAAGATTATGTTCCTTTGATTTGATTATGGTAACATATACGCACTTTAAAAAAAGACTATTCCCACATTTGGTTTGATGCCCAGTAGTATAAAGAAAATATGCCATAAATTTTAGAAAGTGTTGAACTTGCTAGTGTTAAGCAAGATTACCTTTTTCAATTACACGTGATTTATTACACTTAATAATAGACAACTCCATTCTAAAGAGATGGTCTAAATCTTAAAATCAATTTTTAATAACACATTAAAAACTCTCACATTAACCTTTGATATATCTTCCTTCTTTATGAGCTTTCCAATTTTAAATATTTTTACACTGATCAGCTTCTCTCTTTCCATTTTGCATTTCTTCCCAAATCACTTAATAATATTAGGATTTCACACCACAGCCACTACAAAGGAGTCTACTGAATGGGGTCTCTTTTCTTCCCTCTCCTTACTGCCACTGAAAACAGACCTGACTCCTAACCACCCAGCTAAACATTTTAGTACCATTAACAATGAATTATATGATTCTTTATATTTTATTTAATCTAACAGACTATTGATTGTATTCTGCCAAATTACCTTTCCAAAGCAAGACAGTTTTGTAATGTACAAGTATAACATACATTAATATATGACAAATAGTCATTTAAAAGGAATACTGAGGTTAGAAAAACAGCTTTTATAAAGCTATAAAGGTCACCTGCATTGTCAAGTAACTCATGGAAATTTTAATGAAAACAGATGAATTACAGTAAATCTTCACTATAGCAGTTAGCTTTTCCTAAAGATAGCATAGAGCCTGAGTGACAGTAAAATATAATTTACTGCCATACAGCATTAGTTATAAATCATTGTCACAAAAGCTTCAGTCAATACACACAAGCATTGTACAAATAAGTGAGGTATCATACTAGACAAGTAGCCTCAGCATAAAATGTAAGCAATTCTTACATAACAGCATCAAAATAACAAAATTCAAAGCAAAACCAGTTCCTGATTATTCAAAGTCCAATGCTTAAGAGAAAGAAAACTTCTCAAACTGCTGACACTAATCGATAGCCTCATGAAAAAAATGTTATCCCAAAACGAAATGCTGTCAAACAAACACACAAGCAAAATAATGCTAACAGCTGCTTAATTGGGTCTACATTTTGCATTCCTAATTTCAAGACTGTAGTTCATTTGAAACCAAAATTCTAATAATGTCCAGCAGTGATCTGAAGTACACAGCTTTTAAAAGTCTGACTTGCTATTATAAGAAATAATACTAATGCCCTTTTCATATAGACTTAAAACTATTATATTAGTTTGTGTCACATTTGTCTTTTATCAGAAATGCCCATTAAAAATGTTAAACCTGCTTTTAAATGTTACTTTCACCTCCTTACTGGTACTTCAGCCTTAGAAATTCTATCACTGGCTGCTTTCACTTCATAAACTGATCCATACCATACAGTTGACACATAATAAGACATTAAATAACAAATACTATTACTCTGCCTTCTAAAAAAACATTCACAATTCACATTAGTTGCGTCAGGAATTGGGATAGATTAACCATTCCATTATAGCTAATTGAGTTCGGTAGCAATTAAATTCTGATCAATGTTCAATATCTGGCTACCCCATTTGTCCCATATGAAAAGGAATTGAACGGTGTAAACCCTTGTGTGTTCATTTTAAATAAATTAAATCTACAAGTGTGGTTATTTAGAATCAAAGCTTAGAGTGACATTAAGGGCTGCAGTATATCTTTTAGTTATTACATGTATATGAGGGGATTATACTTACAATTAAGAAGCCAAAGTCCTCTCTCACACGATTTTCATGATTATTCTCAGCTAGAAGTTAATTTGTTTAGGAAGTTTGAAGAAAATCTATCCTGCCATTTAAGAGTTACCAGAGCATGTACAAATGGTGTTTTTCACAACTTCAACAGATTTTTGCACTGATGTGAAAATCAGTTTGAATTTCAAGCTTCATGTTTAACATGAAGGAATTCCAGGGCCACCCATGTTATCAACGAGTCAATACAGAGCACTAGGCATGCATTATGTGCTTTTCCCTATCAATTTAAGCTATGAATGGCAAGAGGATGTCATATTTTATATATACATACACAACCACACACACACCCTTCTTCCCCAGATCCTCCAATAACACTGTCTCTCAGGGCTCGTCTTCATTACCGGGGTAAGTTGACCTAAGTTACCAAAGTAGCTTAGGGCAACTTACCCTGGTGTCTTCACTGCGCTTTGTCAATGGGGGACGCTCTCCGGTCGACTTCCTTTACTCTTCTTGGAGAGTTGGAGCACCGGGGTTGACCAGAGAGCGCTCTGCTGAAGATTTAGTGGATCCTCACTAGACCTGCTAAATTGATCCCTGCTGCATCGATTGCAGCAGCATCGATCTCCCCGTAGTGGAGACCTGCCCTCATCCATAACTTGTGCAGATCACTTCCAATTGTGTCAGAAGTGGCACCCATTGCTGTGGGGCTGTTTCTGAAGGTTCCCAGTGGCATCCATTGCAATTATTTCACTTTGGAATACTTGGCCCCCAAGCATGTGGAACCTCAACTCAATGCATGATTTAATGATTGTATATTTAAACAGAAATTTAAATAAAAGAAAGTGGAATCTTTTTTCTTCTTTGTTTTTTGTAAAAAGGAGAATTAACTACCACACATTATTAATGTAACATTCTGGTAACAATTTTACACAAACATAAATTTAGGGAAATAATTCACAGTTCCAACATTAACATAACTTTTTGACACCGTACATAAAAATTGAGTCATTACAGTTAACAATATATGCAGAAATGGAAAATATTAGACATGAACAAGAAGATAAAGTATGATTTAGGGAAAGACCATATACTTTGCTGGCATAACTTGGCTCCATAACTTTGCATTTTCTTACCTTTGATCTTACTGTCTCAGCAATTTAATAACATTCATGCCATTTTTCCACAATATTGTGTACTCCTTTGGAGCCATAGAACCCTTAGAATCCTTTGTTTTAATAAGGAAGAATATCACACTGTAGGCCAGGAGATATTTCAACACACTTGACTATAAGACAGGAAATATCACAACGAAGACGAACTCTGTCCATTAGGTTCCATATAAGAAGTCAAAGATTATTGTGCAGAAAAGAATTGTATTATGAATCAGAACAAGTCATGTGCCTCCACCAAACATCTGATCCTGACCTACAGAGATACCAGGTTAAAAAGGGATGCAAAAGACTACTTAGTTCTTATGAATCAAAACTCTTGCTATATTAAAGGGAATTATGGAATTTGCAAGTTGAAGGAAAACCCAAACTGGGAAAACAAGAGAGAATGAGAGAAGAACCAAAAGATCTTTCATTTGAAATAAAATGGATTAAATAAGGTAAGGGGGAGATTTTCACATATTCCTATGGAAGTTAGAAGCACAAACCCCAATGAAAATCAGTGGGACATATACCTATAAATCCCTTCTAAATTGCTGTAAAAATCACCACCACAGGCTCTGAAAATGAACACCGTTGCCACTCTTACACAGGAGTCAAATTTACATAACTGTTACATGTGAAATTGATTCTGCTCACACAGGTAAGACATAATTATGAGAAAATGCTTGTCTGTGCTAGCCAAACTATCACCCTTCCAGTAAAAGTTAATGTAATGCAAATCTCTAGAACAGAGTAATAAATATACTTAAAAAGAAGTTTATCACAGATCAGTGATAAACACAGAACTTATTTTACACGACATACTGTAATATGTAAGGAAAAAGTAAAGACCAGTTGCATCCTGTACAAAACATTAGGACCTTTGTTTGCAAGAACAAATTCCTGATCAGCTGAATCATAAAACTATTCTCACCATATTTAACATTAATACAGTTTAAAGATAATAGCTATCTAAATTATAAGATTTTCTCCAGCTGAGCAAAGCATTCATGGAAAAAAACCACCTTTCCTACTAACCTCTTCTGCATCATAGATTTTCAATCAATAAATGAAAATGCAAACAATGTTGTACATGGTACATCTTATCAAAACACTACTTGATGATTTTACCTAATAAGTCTCTGTAAAATACATATTACGGAAGATTAGAAATCAATACTCATCCTAAATAATCATGAATGCTTTTTGACATTACTCACCCCATTGGAGAGGAGCCAACTGTAGATGCTCTAGGACCAGCTGATTAAGAACTCCTTCTACACTGGCTTCCCCTTCACGCTTCAAAGAAGGGTAAATGAGAGTTAAGGAAAACTTTGATCCAGAGAGAAAGGGAGCCTGTAGCATAAACATTTATGATTACTGAAAACCAAAACTGTACCTTAAGGATTTATTAAAGATTCAAAACTTCATATCTACTTATTAATCTGTGATGTTGGATAATGGACAATTAATTATAGTAGTTTATATCTTCAGAGTGGAAACATTAAGTGCCAGATTCTGACCTTGCCATGGTGAAGCATGCGTGAAAGTGAAAGTCAGACCTAAGTGGCTAGGAAAAAATGTAATCTGGACCTTTAATCATCACATGCAAGGCCCACACATCTGACAGTCTATGTGCCTGGTGGCAAGGTCTGGCCTCACACCAAAGCAATCTGATCACACCCTCTTTGCACTGTGGAATGGCTCTGGACATATCGCCTACCTACTCCTTACAGTGTTGAAGGAAGCACTAGGTTCTCACACCATCTTGTTCCCATTCAAGTGCTAGGTGGGGAAGGAGTAGTAACTTCCTATGCCTTCTCTTCATACCCCAGTACACTCAAGAAAGACAAAATATGAAGGAGTACAGATCAAATGTATAAAATATGGGACAAGCAGAAAAGTAAAACCTCTGTTGTAAATCGAAATAAACTGTAATGTAACGGTTTAAAAAAAAAAGGAAAAAATGGGAGTTCCTCCTATCAAACAATTCTACTTACCTTTGCCTTTGAAATAAAAGGGAAACGTAGGATTATTTTCTTTGAATACAAAATGTAAACCACGAATCACTATTAAATAAAATCAATGAATTTACTTACAAGCACTGGGTTCATGCTGTGTTTAGGTGTGCCACATTATACATCTTCCTTTAATTATAGCATTATTACAAAAGGGGCTCACTTAAGAGAGCTCATAATCCAGGAAATCGAAGTTGCACAGCAAGTTCCTTGTATAGGGAAATCAGGCTGTAGGGGCTTGAAAAATACATTTTTTTAAGTGCTAATAGAACAGTAAATTGAACTAAAAAAACCTTGTGTTCACATCATTTCATTTTCACTGTATATAGGTTGAAGCAACTACAGTGTCACAAATTAGTTTACAAAAACAAAAGCAATGGCTACCTTTGAATTCAAAGCACTCTAGAGAAGTAAGGTTGCAGATATAAATCCTCTTGCATTTCGCAGCTTATTAAACAGTGTTCAAGTAAAGATGTATCAAATAAATTGCATGTCCAAAAACAGCTTCTGCAGGGGCACAGAAAAAATGATTACTTGTCTTACCCTACAATAATTGTGGTTCTACAAGATGTAATCAGTGTGAATCTCATTGTAGCCACGCACGTGTCTCATAGGCACAAGTTCAATCTTTTGAATAGCTGTATCCGTTGGGGGCAGTGCATACTCCAAAGTGAGGACATAAAAAGGGCAAAGTGACATTGTCCCTTTCTCAGTTTCCTTGCAATTTGAACCCTGTCGTAGCTGAGGATTTGAAAAACAGGGACAGAGGGCAGACTGTCAGATTCACACCGACAACACCGTCTTAAACATCACAGTTACTGTAGGGTAAGTAACCATACTTTCTTCTTCAAGTATCTGTCAGTGAGGATCTCACTGTAGGTTACTGGCATCTGTGATGGAATGAGTGACAATTTCTCATAGTTCACTAGGAGGACCAGATGGGTGAACAGAGAGAGTACACTGATGAGGCTTGTCAAGACTTTCCTGATATGATCTGCCTCTGATTGCCCAGTTATCTAGATACAGACAGTTGTGAATGCCCATTTTCCTTAGGCATGCCACCACTACAGCAAGGCATTTTGTAAAGGTTCTTGATGCAGTTGAATGGCTCTACCTGTAGGAGGGGTGAATGGCAATACAGAAGTATGCATCCTGTAATCTCAGAGAGACAAACCAGTCCTTAAGCCTGAAAGGATAAATGATGAAGGCAAGCATTATCATACTGAACCTGAGACCATTCATTATCCTGAGATCCAGATTAGGATGAACCCTCTCCCTGCTTTATTCTTTGGAATGAGGAAATACAAGGAATAGAAGCCTCTTCTCTTTTATTCCTGCAGAAGCTCTTCCACAGCTCCTAGACTCATAGAGGTGATTTCTTTTTGTCATAGGATCTCCTGAGAAGGGTCTCAGAACAGGGACAGGGAAGGGGGACACGAAACGAATTGGATAGAGTAGACATGGGTGACAATACTCAGCACTCATTTTTTGGCTATAATCGCCAACCATCCTCGATGGAAAGGAGTGAAGGTGATTTCTGAAGATCAGCTCCAGCGTGGTGGTGTTCTTGACACCCCCTTCTTCCTCCATCAAACCTGCTGCCTCTGGCATGGAGCCTGATGTTTTATGGAGAAGGAAGATGATGAGTGTCTTCGAGAGTACAAGGGTCACTTTCTGAGAGGGCATTGCAGTTGGCAACGACAGAAATGAGAGTGTGCTCTCCCTCATTAAGGAAGCTGGTACTGGTAAGGCACTGAAATGTTAATACCAAGAATCTGAGTGTCTCCTTCAAATTGTTCAGGAAATGAAGCACTTCATCCTTCCAGCTATTGAAGTCCATGCCCTTGAAGGGTAGATTCTCTATTGTTGCCTTGACTTCTTTGAGAATCCCAAATGCCTGTAAGCAGGAGGCTTGGTGCCTTGTAGCAGCTGTGGCCATGGATTAAGCAGCCACTTCAGACTCATCCACTGCAACTTATAGCACTGTTTTGGTTACCAACTGCCCTTCTTTGATTGTATCTCTCAGTTTCTTCCTGCATTCCCGCAGAAGCTTTGATAGGAAGGTCACTCTTTCTCAAACTCAGAGACTGTACTTAGCAAACAGGTTTGCGATGTGAAATTGGAGAGAAGCTGACAAGCAAGCATCTTGGCCAAAGAGGTCTTGTTTCTTGGGGTCCTTCTTTTTTTGGATTCCCCTTGGTGGGCCTGGCCTTTTCTTGGACTGCAGAAACCACAAGCAGTCTTAGGGTTGGGTGAATGTAAAAATGTTCAAAGTCCTTATGTAGGCTTTGGTAGCACTTTTCTACTAGCTTTGAACTCAGGAGAAGCAAGGCCAGGGTGTGTCACAGTCCCTTTGCTGGGTTCAATATACACATATTAATTCGGAGGGCATAAATTTTTGTGAGCACAAAGGAGCTGAGGATATCCAACAGCTTGGGCGTGTTACCTTGAATCACCCTTGTCTTGATGTTCAAGGCTTCAGCTATCCTTGAGATAATACTTGGAAACCCTGAAAGTCATCAACAGCCAGGACTCACAAAGAATAATGCAAATAAATATTGCTACATCTACCATTTTGTTACAAGTTGTCTTCATTTAATGTGCCATCCTACACTAAAAAACAACTGTGTAACAGTGGCATTGTGAGCTGCCATGCTTATTGTCTCTTAATGATTTTCACATCAAATGTGTGCAATTAACAAGTAACAAATGTTTATAATCACCAGAGCTACAGTCAAGCTAGAATAGGACAGTCAAGATACATATGAAGGAAAGAATCTAGTGTCACCAACTATTAAGTTTCTAGGGGTCAAATTATGTCCTCAGTTACATCTGTGTGACTTTGTTGTCCTTCCTCTGTAACACCTGTGCAGCCCTGCTGGCATTCAGTAAACTTTTTATTGATGATATATAAGAAGGAATAAAATCCCAATCACTGTCTTATATCTCTGCTGCTTCTGTAGAACTCCCAGCAGTAACCAGCAGAAAAACTCAGTCAATGCAGCTCACTGATACAATTCCTAAATACACACAGGGAGTGGATTTGTGGACTAAGATGACACCATCTTAGTGTCAGTCCCAGGATATTAGAGAGACAAGGTGGGTGAGGTAATATCTTTTATTGGAACAGCTTCTGTTGATGACAGAGACAAGCTTTTGAGCTTACACAGAGTTCTCCTTCAGATCTGAGAAATGTACTTAGAGTGTCACAGCACACAAAGGACCAGCTTCCTCCAGGACCTCCTCCACAAACTAACTCCAAACACCAACATCCCTCCCATCCCTGCCACCTGGACATCACTGCAGAGTTTGCGAAAAAGGTTGGTTTTGTCCTGAAGAAAGCTGGCTCTTTGTGTGTTGTGACACTCTATGATTCCCGGACCTGAAGCAGAGCTTTATGTAAGCTTGAAAGATTGTCTTGCTCATCAATAAAAGTTGGTCCAATAAAAGGTATTACCTCACCCACCTTGTCTCACCATTTTTACATATATTTTTTCAGTTTAAAATTACACATTAATTCTTAAATACATTAAATAAAAGTCAGTTTAATTATTGGGCTAGCACAAATATTAGAAAAGACAAGGGGTAGTAGGTGTTAGTCTGGAGGATAGAACCATGAGATTGTGTTTCAGTTACTATCACTTATTTGTATTGCAATAGCACTCGGGGCCCCAGATCCACTGTGTTAGGCACTATACAAACATATAACAAGACCCTGCCCCAAAGAGCTTACAAACAAAATAAGAAAAATTTTAACGTTTAGTTTCATGGAGTGAGGACCAATTATTTATTTTAGCACAGTAACTGTAGGAATAAGAAGTACAATTTATGATTTCCTTACATTAGCAATTATTTGGGGGTAGGGTCTCTCATCCTATGTGTCTGCACACCACCTTACAAAATGGAACTTTATTACTGCCTGGTGCCTCTGGATGCTACCACAATGGAAAGAACAACATATTTGATCATTTATAACAAACAATGCTAACATTAGAAAAAAATCAATATACACTGAAATGTACTTGAAAGATGCATTCAGATTCTAGGGCTTTTCTCACCCACTGAAGAGGAAACAATTTTAAATAAAATAGAATGAGCCTGATATGTATTTTTAAAACAAGTGGAGGTTACTTACTGTAACTGGAAGTTCTTCGAGATGTACGGTCGCTATTTGAATTCCACACATGTGAATGTACATCTCCTTTTGCACCTGACAGAGGGTATAATAGGCATTGCAGGTCAATGCCTTTCTAGTTCCTCTTCTTACTATAAATCCAACAGGATCCGAAGCAG